GGAAGCCGTGAACGTTCATAGGCATGCGGTGGCATGGCTGCTGCATCCTATAAATACCGCAGCCCCTTGTGCAACAACCACCCGTTTCTGCTCTTTTGTCTCTGATGATGGATTCGAGTAGGAATCCGAAACGTCAGGCTAAAAAAGCTCTTGTCCCGGTGATCGTGTCTCCTTCTTCAAAACAACATACACGTCCGTCTACATTGCCGGGGGAACAGACGAGGCAGTGAATTATCGCACAGAATATGCGAATTCAGTCGATTTCATAATAAATATTGTATACCCACAGGCATTATGCCACTAGCCATATTAGAAACGTACCAACTTCCTCTTTTCTTTCTGTTCTATTTCATCACACCGAGCCACAGCAACGCGTGGCCAGGTTCAGCTAGTCTTCTATATACATAAAATGGAAGTTTTCTGTGTCGTCGGTTATCTCGGAAAGTACTGCACTGATTACGTTCAAATTTGAACACAACTTTGTCTGCGCACATGGCCGGTTTTTCTTTCACGTCTACCTGCATAGGCATGCAGATGGGTAAAAAAAACACGTTTTCTTCCGACATAACAACGCCACCTGCTGACGCGCTGGCCACTTGACCGGCATTCACTCGGACACACGCGCGCCCGCCGAGCCACTTGACCGACATCCGCTCAAACGCACGTGCTCCCCCCGACGGCCGCACTCACCCCACCACCCACCCTGCAGATACTTGAACATACCCTTCCCCACTGGGTCGATGCAATATGGGCCACAAGCCGAACCACACAGGGAAAAAAGACATGCAGCTCTTGAGCTCCACTGTAACCTGTCGCACAACATATATAACTGGGCTGTCACCGCTTCATCGGGGATTCTCGGGGTTGATGACTGGATGGAGTTGACACCAGCCCCTCTCCCTCGCACAACCCACATACTGAGGCTGTCACCCAATGACAACCCAGTGTCGTGTATCTCCGCTTGAGGAAGCTCGGTTGCGGTCACGGCGACCGCGTGCCGCAGCTCTAGGTCTGCTTTTTTCTCAACAGAATGACCGAAAGGCGCCAGCGAGCAACAGCAGATCAGCGTCAAGCACGACTCTGTGCCCAGCATTCATGAGATTAAAATCACCTTGCATCCCGGTACAACGCAGCCGATGATTATTGCTTGAACCGACATGATCACAGTGGCACCATGACTGAAGAGGGTCCTTATTGCAAGGCTGTGGAATTTAAAGGAGAAACTAAAGGAATGTGCTGCGCCACCGAAAACATTAAACCGCCTGAACTCCCAGGACCACCGGAATCCCATCCACATCAAATCCGTACATTGTTTGCAATCATATTGACCGCCTGCTCCCCTTCATCTCACCAGATTTACGTGCACATGGCTGAGGACATCTTCCGTCGACTACGCAAGGAAAACTCAAATGTGGATTTCACAGCAGAAATCTACAACGAGGCGCTACTAGTGATTGAGGATGTGCGCGTAGAAAGTGCGAATAAAGTTCATAATCAACTGGAAATGTCACCGCCAAACCAAACTGCTCCTGATTCGCCAGATGTGAATTTGCACCGAGAGCAAAACCACAACACGGTTGAACTTCCCTCAAACCCGCAATCCAACATTCCTAAGCTAACACTGGAGCAGAATGGCATTTACAATACGATAATGCGGAACGTCAATAATGCGCTTGGAGGAGTCTTCTTCCTGGATGCGCTGGAGGGACTGGCAAAACGTTCCTAATAAGACTGATTCTGACAGTAGTCCGACATAAAAATCACATAGTCTTAGCTCTTGTATTCCCGGAATAACTGCAACCCTGCGATACACTGACGTTAAGTGATCCATCAGTTTTTTTGCGTACAAGGACATCCATGGATGGGAATTGTTACTCAACCTCTGTTTTCAGGAATCAAGTTTACATCCGAAACGTAGGCTTAACACTGGTATGGAGTAGACACAACTGACCGTTCTTGGCGATGACAAATGTGTCATCTACACGTCGCATCCAGAGTTCTGGGTTAACTGTGGGAAGAGGCATGGTTTCTAATTTCTGCATTACAGCCCACGCCAGAAAACCGGATATGGGTGAACCTATGAGAGCGCCTTTTAATTGTCGATAGCATTGTTTTGGGGGAAAATCTGTTTCCAGACGAAGATCTAGGAGTTGGAGTAAAGCGGGCACCCCGGGGCTTACGTTTGGAGTTCTTCGGTGTAGCTCCTAACTGGATCCACCGGAATCGAGGTGTAGAGGGAGACGACACCGAATGATACCACTATCTCGTCATATGCAACGCCGGCCCATTCGAATCTGTCTAGAAACTCTGAATGGAGTTCTCCGCAAGTGGACGTAGTTGGCGGAATAGCCACCGGCTAGAGGGATTACCGGTCGCAGCGGAGCAATTACCGCTCACAGTATGCGGGACGACAACCCGAATATTCGATGCAGACCTCGCGCGCAACCACCAGCTGCATCGGTTTCTTTATGCTGATCTAAACAAGCAACTTCGTGAAATTGACCGAAACCCGGCCACTGTCGCAAAGTTCGATGTTACTAAATCCTTCCGGCGTCACTCCTGCTTCTACACGCTCTTAGGGCCCCCTAGCCATCACCGAAAACAATCCCACACTTCGCCGCATGTTGCCAGGAGTAAGGACTTATTTGCAGTGGTGATGCATTGAGGGAGGGGGCTACCGTCAAAATAACTCGCGCGACAGGACATACTGTACCCTCACTGAAGGCACTAGTACCAGCATCAACAACCGCTAAATTCTGTACGATCAACCCCACCTGACCTAGTCACTTCGGGAAAACCACGTTCTTAAGTGTCTCCCTGGAGACCGTTATTCTCGTTTTTACGTCTCAATGCAGACACACTTCAGGCAATTACAAATACATATACCCGGGGCAGGTCATCCGCCCTTGAGTAGTATCACTAAACCCACTGGTGCACGAATGCTAACCCGGGACGAGGGACCCCATAGTCGTAAATTCCGAATTCGGTTGAGACCGAAATACCCCCCCTCCAGGATGCACACCGGAGAAGACACTACCTCTTGTAAAGAGACTGCAAGCAACGTGTTCCCCGCCAATTCTACACGCGTTGGGACCGACGACAGAAGCATAGCCTGACTGGCAGACTTCCCGAGGTTAGACCGTATTTGCCGGCAATACCCGTAATGCCGAGGCGGCAGGGTGTATGGGCAAGCTACAAGCATTCATGCACGGCCGTACGTCCGAGAATCACGTCCCAGAGGAAATCTGGGGCTGCACACCTACCTACCTCGACCCGTTGACAAAAGAAACCCGGCCGCCATCGACGCTTCCTCCCTAATTTAGCTTGGTTGACTACGCGTAGTTGCAGCGCACGACCAAGGGCGTACACCATCAGCAACTGGCTCAGCAGTAGCAAGTACTAGACCGACCAGCATGGAGACAGACGGCGGGACACACGAGCGTAGCGGACAAGCCAGGAGCAACGGAACCAACCACTCGTTAGATCTGATCAGTAACCCCCTCCACGGAACGTGGTCGGAAGCCCAGCATCGCACTGGAGCTAAATTCTAGATACTTGTGCAGGCTGTCAACTGCCCGCAACTTACGCCCGGGCGTGACCCAGGCGCCGTAGATGACTGCTCTAGTGACTGAGGCGCACTGCTGGCCTACAGACACCGGATGGCTAACCGCACAGACGAATAACACAACCACCCCGAACCGAACTGCGAAGGAGCCCCAGGGTCGAGGGCAGGGTCCAAGTTTCGGAACCCAGGCTGGCATCACGGAGACGGCCTCCCACAGCTCCAGGCAGCGATCAACGACTGATTCCATCCCATCTCCGAGCTACCTGCACCACGGAGCACACGGAGATCCACGCATAAGGGGGACGGACGAGGCCGAGCACCTCCCGTGAACAGAACCATCACTAGGGCAAGACTGACCCGTCACCCGGCGCACAATGAATTCCGCTATGCGCAGACAATTCGAGGGATCAACACGATCAGGGACTCCGCAAAGCCCGCAGGTACGTCAAATTTCCCAGCCGGCAGTGAAGCTGACGAACACACCAGTCTCGCAGAGGCGGCCACCAACACGTCTACTTCGAGCATCTAGGCAGCGTGATGACGTCAACTCTGGTCAAGAAGTCCCACCGCCGGTACGGCGGGAGACTACAGCTAGAATACTCGACCGACAACCTGGTGTAACGGAGCTCTACCAGCGGTCCAGCCATCATCGTGAAGGAGACAGAGGCGGCTGACTGAATTGTAGTATCGATGTGAGAGCCGACGGCATCCGCGGCCCAAGTACGGATCCCGAGCGCTGACCAGTCGGCTACAGCGGGCGCGGCTCTCCTACGTCCGTTCGTCCTTCTGGAAATCACCGCGAGCACTCGGGCGCTCAGATATCAGGATGGAAGACCCATGCCAGCTAACGACAGCCTATGGGAGGAAGTGCAGCCTCCGCAGCGCGCGCACCGCATCCAATCCGCAGGTAACACGCATGGCCCGACGGCAGGCTCACCCCAAGCACCGAAGGCAGCGCGAGCGCGAAAAAGATGCCGCGGCAGGTGGCTCCAGAAGCCACCCGGAGTGGCAACAGCTATTCAAACATTTATAGGTTATTGTAAGCATATGTTTGGAGCTTTTCGACGAATCATGTGCCAGGATTCAGTGTTAACCAATTAGATGCCTCTGCTAAAAATCAACAATCCGCAAATGAACCAATTGGATGGCAGATTGGTTTGTCACAAGATGATCAAATGACGAATTGAATTCCTAGATATTTTGGCAGAAGAAACCCAGAGCTAAAATGTGCTGGGTGGTATTTCGGGGGAGCGGGCCACTCGGTCTTGATGGCTTCGAGATTAGAAGTGTGCCCAGCGTAAAGAGGACCAGAAACCACACACCCTAGGGATCAGCCTATCAAGCGGACGGCTGATGGTAAAGTCAGCAATAATCAGTCGGGGAAGGCCTGCGAACATACGAAGTACCAACTCCACCGTGGGTGGGAAGGGATCTAGTGTCAAATAAATTGCTATACTTTTGAGCTTCAAAAGGCAATTTGGCGAGCATACGTTTGCTTCCGATAAATTCTCTTCAGGCCTGTACATTTATATGGCTATTGAAGTAATGAATACAAAAGATACGGGCAAATAGATAATTAATCTGTAGCTTGGGTTTGGAGAGGGGGAGGGTGAAACACCATAATTCCAGTCGGCGCCAGGGAGAAGGTGGGTCCCGGCGAATGCAATTACATGCGGGTGTCTGGCTTGGTTTGCATGCTCATGTTTATCTGACCAGGCCGCTCAAAAACCTTTTCGTTACACAGGGCTATATGGAGTGTGTTTAATGTGAATAGTAGGTTTGGCAGCACAAGCATATCGAGTATATTTGGATTCCTCGATGCAGGTACGTGGAGTAGATGTTTGTCTTGTCAACGAAATCAGTATCGAGTAGATGTCGGGTCGTCGAGATATTATGCAAACCTGCAAAAGTGGGACGTATGGAACTATGCACGAATATTTTACTTTACGCAATACCCATGCTTCGCTCTAATCCATCCTAATCCGTCTTTGTTGATCCCCCCGTCCTTAACCCACTATCACACGTCTGATTTTAACATCCATTTTATGAGCACGCTAATAATGGACAGTTACCTTCAAGATGGTCGGATTCGGGAACTTAAATTGAAGAAGTGAGAAAGGGAATATGTGCAGGGCTTGGAGGTAGTTCATCACTAGTCGTCTGAGCAATGCACCTCAGAGGATAGTCCAGGTTTTTTTACAAACCAGGACTAGTTTCAGAAAAATTAAGAGATTACGCACCGGCCGATTGGGTTTCACTTCGATTTTTTTGAGCCCGTTTTCCAAAGCCATCAAGCGACTATTTCAGTCGCTTGGTAAACAGACTCAGGTCAGACAACCTTGCGCTGCTGCTTGCATTCCACCTTGCAAAGACCTTTACATGTCGAGGAGTCACATACGTAGCTAGGTGCGTAACCATTGCAACTTCGTCTATTCTCGGCCCGGAGATACCGTCCCTCATTTTGTGAGATAGGGGCTGATCAGCCGTCAAAAAGCGCGCAGAAAATGCGCTCGCCAAAGTTATCGATCATACACCTCTAAGGGCAACAAGCCCTTAAAATGGGTGCTAATTTTTGCGTCCACCTTCCGCTGACTTTGCACTTGCCCTGTTATGTGTACTTCCGAAACTTGATCTGGACGCTGCAGCGGCGTTTGCCGGTCCGGCCTTGCATCAAGCCCATGCAGAACAGCCAGGATAATGAGCGAAATTTCGCGTCCGAATTTGGAGGATTTAGGCAAAAACTGTGGTAAGGTACACGGTTGGTCTTCAGGGCTCTTTTAGCAGTACACGGGTAGCCATTGCAGTCTACGTAGATACTACATGAGCAGCTAATCACAGTATTTGATTAATCAGTGCTCACGTTTGGTATCCGGCCTGTTACTTGTGTTGGCTGGAACAACGCAGTCAAGCATAATTCCGTAAAAGTTAGGAAATGAACATGCGATATCTCCTGATTGGCGGATAGCAGTACAATAAATGACAAACTTGCCGGTGCTCTTATTCGGCGGTTACCCTGCGAACCCTCTTCCACAAACCCAGTTCCATAAAAACTAGAACCGAAAAGCCAATTCGGCAAACACGTTTTCGGTAACTCGCCACCAGGCCAAAACAGTTACATGGAAGTTGGCAATATCCGAAGTTACAGGGTTTAAAAGTTGTTCAGGGGACACGCCACCCGCATGGCGATGAGTGTTATGGTCATTGGGTACGTCGGGGCGACGTGCAATCATCTGGGGTCGGCGTTGGCTATGGAAGACAGCGCAACGTAGCGCTGGATTGGCTGGCCACTGCCTCGGCTGTAGCTAGCACCCGTTGGCGTAGACCTCCGGAGAAGCTTGCTGGTGTCCGTAGACAACCCGAATGGCTTCTTCGGCATCGACTCGTATCGACAAGATGCGCGAGAATAGAACTCGAAATCGACTTCTTTCCACCTCTGCCTAGCCAGGCCGGTGTGTTCACGTGCTTTCCTTCCCAGGCGCCTCGTGTACGGCCCCGCAGGAGCAACGAAACGAGTAAAACAGCGATGCGGCCTGCAACGGGAGTCGATCTTTACCTCCCAAGCGTAGGAACGCAGTTCGCGAAACACGTAAATCCACGGCAGAGGAAGCGTTAGTGATCGCTGCCTTCGGACGTCTACTTTCTAGGTCACTTGCCGCGTCCCCTATAAACCCTGCGCCTCGGAAGACTTTCATCTAACCGTCTTGGCCTGACGAAGTCACCGTACTTTTCAATTTTGGCATGCGAATATTAGCATAATTTACACAAGAACTAGAACGCGGTCAGATCTAGGTAGCGCGAGCCAAGCATGCAAGTCGACGTAACAAACTAGGTCGACTTGAAATCCCTCGGGTTCCTGCATAAGTCCGCAGAAAAAAGGGGGTTGACAGGGTCCCACAGTTCCCCCTGATCATCCACCACAATCACGCGCCCCTCGGCGTCCGTGCCGGGGCACGAGCGCCCTGCAGGCGCTATTTCAGTAAAAGTTGTTAGCTCCAGTGTGCGTGAGGTGCGTCGTACGCGGGTCGCAGTACTCAAGTCTCGCCGTGTCGAAGCAGTCATTGCGTCCACTTCCCCGATGTAGGCGGGATGGACCGCTCACATAAACCTAGCGTGCTGCCAAGGCCCCCCGCGCCTGACCAGCCTCGGCGCCCCTCTAACTCACAAGCTCAACCAAGACGCAGCTTACGGACCCAAAACCGAATCCCGTTTGAAGGACACACCGCGGTCCGTCCCGGGTAAACAATCAGTTGTAATGGCCCTAAACAGGGCCGTTGTTACGTTCTCCAACGGATCGACAGTGGAAACTGCGCCCGAGATAACCCAGACGTCAGCCACCTTAGGCCTTGACAGGCTTCTTAGCCACCGGCTTCTTTGGCGGCTTAGCCTTGTGAACCTTGGGCATTGCCGCAGGCTTGGACTTCTTTGGTGTCTTGGCCTTAGCGACCTTAGGCTTCTTGGCGACAGCCTTCTTGGGAGTCTTAGGCTTCTTAGCTGCGGACTTTGGCTTCTTCACCTTCTTGGGCTTCTCACTGGCCTTCTTCGGCTTGGCAGCCTTCGCCACCTTGGGGGCCTTCTTGACCTTAGGGCTTTTGACGGCCTTCTCACCGAGCTTAAAGCTGCCGGATGCACCCTGCCCTTTGTTGCCAACGCGGATCAGAGAGCCGTTCGCAACATGCGAAACGAGGACTCGGCGGATGTGGGGAGTCAACTTGACCATATCCACTTTGTAGTGTTCGCTGATGTGCCTCTTGATCGTGGGTAGGGAGGTACCCTTCTTGTCCTTATGGGCAACAAGAGCGGCCTTGATCATTTCGAAGACGGGTGGATGCGACGCAGGAACCTTCGCTTTCTTGGCTTTGTGGGCCTTGGCAGGGGCTGGGGCGGTTGCGGCAGCAGCGGCGGACATTACGAGCGCGAGACACGTGGAGACGTATTGCCGTGGAAACTTAAAGGCAAGATTATATATGAATTTGTTCTCTCATCTTGACTATCAAAATCGGCTTTTGGCCAATTACCTCAGGACACGTGAGTGGACCAATCAGGTAAAGATGTACACTCGTGCAACAAGCCAACCAAATTAGTGATTTGTGATTAGTCTAGCCAATCAGGGGTGCAATTCAACCAACGGGCTCAGCTGTCCAGTTCTCTAGCAGGACAGTTGGGACTGGTGATAAAATGCGGGATATCACCAGGACAGTTGTTGGGGCTGCCCCTGGGTGCGTGCCTGCGTTACCCTCCCCGAATTGGTGCTGTCACACGGGATGGCCTACTCCGCTGACGGCCTGAGCGCCGCAAAATTCCCATCCGTTAAGGTACTTGAATGGCGAAAATCTGCTCCACCCCATGTGGTGGTCCTCAAGACTACAACTAATGGACGACTACTCGTCCCGAACTGCCGTTCTCTGAGTTCAGCGTAAGGCCTGCGTGCAGTCGCGTGAAAATAACTTACCTAGCGCGAACTTCAAGCTTCTGGTGGTCATACTACACTGTCTTATGATTCCAAATGGACCACCCAGCCAGTCGTAATGCCCCAGGAATCCTCATGGTGTGCATTGGAAGCGTGCCGCATCACCCCTGGGGATCGAGTACCTGACGAAACGCGGAGGACATCGCGGGATTGGTGTCAGGCGATTTGATTGAGTTCGGGCTTCCCGCCGGACATTACAGTTCCGGGTAGGCGCTTTCAGGGGTGGACACTCGAGAGCAGAGAGAGACTAAGGTCGCAGTGTCTACTTGCCGTTTATACGTCGTATCCGCGCGCTCGAGTGTTGCATGGAGCTGTTTGGTTGTATTGATATGCCTGGAAATAGTGACTAGGACAGTATCCGCTGCATACATGCAGTGGAGTTTGACACCGCGGTGAGGGCGGCGGACACACCGCACGGATGCTTGTGCATGCTAGAAGGCCTTATGCTGCGTCGGGCATTCATGGTTCCTAGTCAACTTCACTCAGTATCTAGGGGGAGGGGTAGATGCAGTCAGTCAAGTTTTAGCTTTTGAATCTGTTACGGGGCGCTCGAGGCCGTGAATTCGAGGGTTGTTAGCTAATGGGAGAGTCCAGCCCCAACTCCCCTCACAAGAGGCCGGGCTGCCGTGGTTCCTTGTTGTGGCCTCCATGAGGACCGTACAGTGAGACGTCCAACACCGCTTTCTCGGGGTCGAGTTTGTGTGCGTTCAGAAACTAGCGCACGTATGGCATCTGGGTGTGGTTCTACTCTCGTCGGCCACTGCACTGGACCGTTTCGGGCACGCATGACGGGTGTGGTAGGAGGGGTGTGGGTACTCCCCAAGTTTCCCTACCAGTCTATCTCACGCAAAAGATACTACTGCGTTCGAGGGACCGTGGTGAAATTTTCATCTTTGGTTAGGGATAAACAGTCATTTACAGCTTCTGCAGCGCGGCCTGCGTCAAGTTCATGCTGCACTACATTTTTCGAGAAGAGTGGTCCCCACTGACGGCTTAGCTGGAGAATTTGTCCGCCTCCTCTGTGGCCAAAGGACGCCTGCAAAGGTGGGCCTCCGAGCATTCCTTGAACTGCCTCCGGTTCGTGCGTACCGCCCGGTAGTTCAGACTGCCATCAGTCTGGTTCTCGGACCGCTTGAGCAGCCACCGTTGACTCTTGCATCGGTAGCATACAGCTGAAGGCATGTGGATGAACGTAACCGCGCAGGCTGTTAGATTCTCCTATGTTTTCCAATGTTGTCTTGTAACAAGCACCCGGGGCAGCGCTTCCCTTGGCCTAGGGCGTGCTAGTTGCGATCTTAATGACGGTCCACACGCCGCATGGCACAGGTTCCGAGCCGTGGTTTCGAAACGCGGAGACGTTGAGGGATTTAGTCAGCGGGGCATCGGCGCCTAGAAGGCATGCATATGATCCCAGAGCTGCGGTGGTCCTTGCTTACATTTTGCAAACATAATGCCGCACGTGCTTCCACACATGCATTTCGCGTTTTACTTTCCAATAAAGGGAAAGGCTTGTGGGAATGGCGGCTAGAAGTTGTGTGCCTAACGGCCACAGGTAGGCCCTGCCCAATCGAAATTCAACTGCACGGTGAAGTGCCAGCCCTAAAAGAGTACACGATGGGACATGACTCAGTTTATCAACCAAGACGAGTCAGTGAAGCACGTATCTCGTCGTCGACTAGCCGTACCCCGGCCCCGAACGCGAGCCGCCGGTCCCCACCGTCTTGCTCCGCGGTGGGACATATTAACCCTACTGACTCGTAGATAGGTACCAGGTCGCCCCTTCACGGGACCTGAGTGTGGGTCGTCTGGAGCACCAGATGAATTCAGAAATGACAACCTGGCCTTTTCCTTGCATTTTCGATAAAACCTCGTTTATGGTCTATTGCAATGCAACCGTCCGCGAGGATCCCGGCCTGGGGCCTGATGAAATAGAGCATCCGGGTTTCGGCCGGCAAACAAATTGCGTGTCCCCCACATGCCCCCCAGTGCCTCTGGTTGCAGTCTCAAAAGTGTGGACTCACGGATAAGTGGTGGTGTTCGACTCGAAACCAGCTGGACGCAGCTTCAAATAGCATCTTGCTGGATCGAATATGACCCTCTGACCGACAACAGAAGCCAAATGAGGAATCACCATTTCAGTATCCCTCGCCTTTGCTAGTACGCCTCTAGAAACCGTAAACCGTGGTCAGAAAACTATGCTCCACGCAACCGGTGCCATTGTTGCGTCGGACGCTGGGCAAAAACTTGGTTTTAAAACAGTAACAGCCCGAGGAACATCACAGCATTCCCGACCACATGTGTAGATTTACTTCAATGCAAATAAAAATTTTCCGGAAATCCACTCCTGCCTACCCGTGGTAATACTTTTCCTGGTCACAGTGGACAGAATTACAGATGACCCTGCGTTCAGCAGTCACCGTCTGTGTCAGTGGCCAAATTAATGGCACATTGGACGAATATAAGCGCTGGTACAGTTCAAAGCTCTACCAACCGAATTGACGAAGCAGATAAAAAAAAAGTGAGAATGAGATCGGGGGTAGAGTTATTTCAGACAAAAGCCCTAGTCCAGCTGATGTAGGTAGCGTAAAACGGGACGCAAGAGGCGTCCGGGCAGAATTTGAGATAAGGACTCCAGAGAACTAAAGTGATGCAGCAAGACCCGAGTCCTGGTGGTCGTTATTAACTCTCAGTAGTTCTCCAATCATTTAGGGTTGGGGTACGGGTATGCTTGCCCTCCCTGGAATTTTGTTCGAGACCAGGGTTGGGTTCCCACTCCCGTGTCCCGCCATGGGGTCGTCAAGTCCAGACCCCATTTTTGCGCAATTGCTCCATATGGATGCTACTGACTTTAACGGGAAAACCACATGACCAGACTAGTGACAGTGTGTGCTTCTCGGGGGAATTTGTTTAGGTCCCGTGAGTTTCGTCAGGCAGCCTAAGGTGACCACTTTTCACGGCCTCTGGCTGGCACGTATTAGGTGCGTACGTTTCGAAGGTGGCCAGAGGGCGGTGCCGTTTCAGCAGTGAAAGAGTAACGATGCAACCGAGCTCACATTTCCAATTTGTGCAAAAGCCCTTTCGTTCAAAACAACGAGGGATGCCTTGCCTGTGCACGTCGCGTCAGGTTGGGTTTATGGATTCATATACACCTGCGATGCCGGTATACCGGACGGACGGGAAATCGGCTGATGACCAGATCAGTTGGGAGGCTGTTTAAGTGGCCTTTAAAACCAGAAAACGAGCTCCAATGAAGATCTAAGTGCGCTTTTGATGGAAGAGGTAAGTTTGGGCTCATGTGGACGACTTAGGGGCTTCCGTTGATACTGGCCATTTACGCATGGCTTCAGGCGAAGGGTTTGAAGAAAAATACCGGTGCGAGTGTCTCGCGAAGTAAGGGGGGTCGGCAAATGCGGTGTACGTGGTGGTCAAGGTGGAGCGGATGCTACAGTGCGTTTAACGCTGATCGTTGGAAGCTTGGGAGGCTGTTCTATCAAAACATGACATGCGCTGGGAAATGGATGTGTAGGGATCTGCAGGGTCGAACTGCGACTAAACGAGCAGGGTTGATTTTAGAGAGAGGCTCCGAGGGACCGCCATCAGGAGCGTGGAGGAGGATGAGTTACGGGTCTCCTCAGTGCTCCCTCGTTGGACAGAAGCCGGAGCTTAAGTCCCGCAGTGTTAAAAGTAATGGACGTGCACAAATTGGGTAACGGGATGCACTTTGCTGCCGTTCCGCGTCGTATGCGTATCATCCTCATTCAACAATACTGGTAAGGGTGGACAGTTGTGGTTGGCAGACGACAGGCGGTTGAGCGACTGTGGTCGCCGGCGGGATAGACGTCTGCAGATAATTAAGTGCCTGAAAGGTGTTCAGATTTGAGTCGGTCAGTGTGTTGATCATTTCCCTTCTCGCTGCGTACACTGGTGAGACATCTGTCGCCGAAGCGAAAGCCCTGAAGGGACCGTAATATGACGCCTCAAGCCCTTTGCGCATGGACTTTGATGAGTCTTTTGAAACAATAATAAGGCTGTTCAGATCATGAAGGGACCGACGCAAACGACCGCCTACACTGGCGAAGTTGATGAACGCGATTCATTTGGCCTTCCTCGTCTGCTAATAGCAACCCGCTGGAAGGGTGAGATGCTGTCTCGAGAACCAGTTATGCGGGCGAGCACTTAGGGCTCGGCATCAGGGAAGACCGGGTACCAGGTAAGACTAAGAATGTTTTGGGCACGGGAACGAATGGATGGAGGCGACTTCGAACTGTGAACCACTACCCGTCCTCATCTGGGATAGGACGTCAAGTATATGTATTGAACGACTGACGAAGATGCTCCTTAGGGTTGCTGCCTCGATAGCTGGAGACAAGCCACTTCCGTTCACCAAGTCAAGCTGGCATTACAGGTTCGTAAGGTAGTCTATTTGTGCCTAGTCACTT